CTTTAAGTTTTCTTTCTTTTTTGTGATCAACTTCTTTTTTGTCTGTCTTATACTTTTTACTTATTTTTATATCACTAGCTGTGTTCTTTTATTGATCATTTTCTTCTATTTTACTTTTTTTCTCTTCTTTATTTTTCTTTATTGAACTCTTCTCTGTTTGCTTTTCTAGCATATCATAATCTATGCATCCACACTCTTGCTCTAGCAAAATCTCTTTATTTATTTTGTTTTTATTTAATTGCTCTATACTATTCTTCTTTAGTTTCTTGCTATCTCTTACTTGTATATACTTATAGTAATTATGTATTTCAATTAAGTTTCTAAACACACAAACTAATATTGCTTCAGTGCCAACTAGTCTGGCTAATTCTTCATCTTTTCTTAAAACTCTTGATTTATGACTGTCTAATAATTCTCTTTGTATTCTGTCAAATTTATTAAACATATCATGATACTTTTCTAATTTTTTGCACTAGTTGATTTCTGTAAATACTGGTTAAACTTTTTGTATCACACTTCTTTGCATAATTTCTATCTCTTTACTATATATATTCAACATGTGTTTTACTATTTATATCTATATTTATTTGTTTATCCGCAAGATTGCATGTTTGTTTATTTGTTTTGTTGTATTTACTGTTTACTCTAACTTGTTTTACACATCAAGTGTGTAATTTGCAATATAAGGTTTCTGTGTTTTTTATTTTTTCATCAAAAATTTTTAAAAAAGAGCAAAATTTTCTCTAAATATCAAAAGTGCCTACTATATTGCTGTCAACTTGGTCTACTATTCTAACAAACTATATCTAATTTCTTACAAGCTTTAACTTTACTTAACTGACAACTATGCTTTTACTTGCTAGCTTTTGTAATTTCTATAATTTTCTTTCTGTTCTGATTTTGGTTATAAGGATCTGCAGAGAGAGTTTTTTTTTTTTTTTTAATATATAATTAACTTTATTAAGTTATAGTACAAAAAATTAATATATATATATATCTTAGAACTAAACAAAATTATAAAATAAATATTTTAATATAAACTTTAAAAGTTGTTTAATTAATGTTAAATTTAAATATAAAACTATTTAGTTAATAATTAAAAAGATGAAACCTTAACAAAAATATAATTATATTATAAAATTTTTAGTTTAAATTTTGATATTTTTTTTTGCTTTTACTAAGACTGATGTTTATAATAGTTATTGATTTTATTATGTTTTTAATTTTGAGTATATAACTTATATAAAATGAATATACAATTAGTTAAATATATAATTTTTAGTTACTTATTTAAGTAGTCTATTCATAAATCCTCTTAAGATCTTATTTCAAACTGGTTTAAAATACTTTCAAATAAAATATTTTCCTTTATAATTTAATATATATGGCCTAATCTGCAATTTAAACTAATTAATCTATTTCTAAATATACTTAATCTAATTATATCTTAATATTACAATCTTAAAAATACATGAATATTTTACATCTCATCTGAAAATTAGCATATTAGCAAAATAATAAGTACACTTAATTTTAAAATAATTTTCAAAAATACTAAATTATTATAACAATACTCAACATAATTCATATTTCTCCAACATCTACAAATTTTTAACTAAATTACAAACAAACTATTAATTTCAAATGCAAAATATAAAAAAGAAAACACTATCTTGAACTTAATATTAATACTCAAGAAATTCAAGTACTTCAAAACATACATGAAAAATTATATAAGCCAGTTCTACAAACTCTTTCTACACTTTCTCTATCTTTCTTAGAAATTTTCTTAATTCAAAATATAATACCTAATCCTATATACCAAAATCAACTTATAGATTTGCACAAAAAAATATTATATATTAACTCAAATAATCTTTATTTCTATACTAAAGCCTTAATAATAAACTTATAAACATATAATATTTTTACTAATATTACTTAGATACTTGAAAATAATATATAAATCAAATTTAATATATCTATATTTCATGTATCAAACTTTACAAAAGTAGAACTAGCAGCTTTTATTTTTCTATTTCTTGTCTTATTTTCTAATCACCAAATTTATATTTATCTTGATAGTTTATTTATTATTTAAACTCTTATATATGCAATACTCTATAACTACAATTCACAAATCAAACAAAATAATTGAAACATTATCCATATTCTAAACTTCTTAACTAAATGTAAAAATATTAATTACATTATACATAAAGTCAAATTTCATTTAAATAACATACTACATAATATAGCTGATACTTTAGCTAAACATGAAACTAACAAAACTGAGCTTGAACTTAATCTTGACTACTTCTATCTTTCTTTGTTCTTTACTTAGAATTAAATTCTAATTATATACAAATTACATAAATTCTATAAAATTTACTATTAATTTAAACATTTAACAAACTTTTTTAACTCAAACTATTAAAGAACCTTTTTATTATAAATACTTAACTATTAACTAAGATTATTAATTCTCAAAACTCTAATCTAAATCTATACTCTTTTAGAAACAAAATACTATACAACAACTTATTAACAATATATAATTTAAATACTTTCTATACTACTCTTTATCTAACTCTGAACTGTTTATTTTGTAACTAATATGAAAATACTAAATACTTACTAAAATGTTCTCTTTATTCACACAATCCAAATAACATTCTTATCAATAAAATATTAAATATTTTAAACTCTTTAAACTTATTAGAAACATCATCATATACAATAATACAAATTCTAAATCTACATAACCTCTCTTTAAACTTTAATATAAATAACTTACTACTATTACTCATTTAGAGTATATTAACTTTAGATCATTACAAACAATTGCAGTTTACCCTAAAAAAATCAACTAATAATTTTTTTATCAAACTTAATACTTATTTAGTTCAACTCTACTATTTGGCAAACATGAAATGATAAACAACAGAAATAGGAGTTAGTAGAGAAATTATTGTTTCAACAAAAAAGAAAAACAATATCTATTTATTTATTTCAAAATTAACAAACTCTAATAATACTATTTTTATCTTTGATACTAATATAGATTCTTTTATTACTAAACTTCTTTCTCAAAATTTTATTATATATACTTGCTTTTATTAAACTAACAATCCTAAAGGTTTTTCTACTCTTCTGTAGTTAAATATTAACAATAGTTAACTAATAATGAAAAATAAGAGAATAATATTACACTAGATGTAGTTAGACATATATAACAACAATAGTATAGTTTAAAAATAATTCTTTAGTTATACATTATATCTAATTAGTATATTTATATATTATTATTTTTCTATTTGATATTATAAAAAAAAAAAAAGGTAGTTTATTTATAAATTCTACACTAGCTATTATATCTGTAATTTGTTAAAAGATTATCTAATTAAACACTCTAATTTTTATACTATATCTGATAGATAGCATACTAACTCTTATATATTTAAGTGTTATCTAACTTAATATTTAGTCTTCTTTTCTATATATCTATTAAGTCATTATATATTTTAAAATATGTCATCTAATTATAAAACTTTAAAAGGCCTTTTTGTTAACTATTCTATTCACTTTTATAAAATATTAATAAGATTTATCTTTGTAAAATTTATCTAGATTTCAATACTAACTTTATAGTATATTTTTAGTATTTATATTATATTTCTGCTTTGTTATCTGACTTTTAATTTAGATAGCTCAATAAGACTATAATTTGTTTTTAGTATACTAAGTTCAATTTAATATTTTAATTTTGATAATTTAATTGATGATACTCTTTATTTAAAGGTTCTTGCTTATCCAATTTTTTTATATTAATATTTATTTTCTAGATTTAGACTTTATAATAATACTGTCAAAAATTCATATATCTTTTTACTTAATTTTTTTAAAATAAGTTTTAGTTTCTTTAGTTTTATAAATTTACATAACTATAAGAACTTATTTAGAGTTTGTACTGTTTAATATTAGTTTGCATTTTTTTATATAACTAAAATTACACAAAAGTCTCTTGACTTACCAGTCATGCTAATGTGACTATAATTATAAATATCTTATTTTAACTAATTAACAAAATGCTGTTGTTATAATACAGATATATTTTTCTAAATTTTGTTTCTAATAGGTTTTAAACTTACAACCTGCTACTTAGAAAGGTGACAACTTATCCACTTTACTAAGTTCAGATTTTGATATTTTCAAATTTTTAGAAATAAATTTTACAAAATAGTATATAAACATATTTTTGCAATATATTAAAAATTTTATATATCAATTCTATAAATTATTTTTGTTTCAAATACAAATAAACATTTTTAGATTCATATAAGTAAAATTTTTCAGGTTTATATAAATAATCCTGAAAAGGTTTATAATGTTACCTTTGATAGTTGAGTTGAAACATTTAAAAGAATTTAAGATTAACATAGTTAGGCAAATAGAAATAAAATATGTAATATTAATATAAAAGCTCTTTTAAATATTAAAATTAAAAGAAAATTATTAATTTCATTGAAAAAACAAATTATCACATAATAAAACAAAGATATCAAAATAACTTAACTTATTCTTCTTATATCAGAAATAAAAACTTTTTCTGATTATTTATTTAGCAAATTATTAATTATATTTCAAATTGCAAAAAATTTATTACAAAACTTATACATGTTATTTCGAAATTCCTTTTAAACAACTTCAGATCTTATTACCATTAATTAAAAGAATCCTATTCTGATAGGTACAAGTTGTAATAGGTAAAGCATGAATCAAAATTACTAGCTTTCAATATACTTCGTATCGATATTTTATCTGATATCTATTATGTATAGAAGTTACATGAATCGTAAATTGATCGATGGTAACACAATCCAAATTGGATGGATTGGTTAACTATATAATTTTTTTTTGCATATAGAGATGTTCATTCAACGATCAATTTCTCGATCAATTGATTTTTTGATTCGTATTTATTTGACTTTCAGAATAAAATGGGCAAACGCGAACGATCAAATTTATTACCAAATAATATTCCACAACTACAAAACCTTATCAAACGTGATCCACTTTCATATAAAGAGGACTTTTTACAACAATATAGACATTATGAGTCTCAATTAACCATTCTTCAGCTGAAACCAGACGAAGAAGCAGAAGAATTTGGAAATTTGGTTACTTTTATTTCACAGGTCTGTTTTCATGAAGAACGAATGTTAAAAAAAAAAGGATGCATTCATTTTTAATAAAAAAAACATAATCAGGTTGCGCAATGTTATCCTCAAGAAACCCGTTCATTTCCTCAACAAATAATAAACTTACTTTCCGAAAATTATCAAAATTTAAATCCTAATCTACGAAAAACCATGGTACAAGGTCTCATACTACTTCGCAATAAAGACATAATTCCCAGTATCACGTAAAGGAAACCCCCAATTTATTTTATTATTTTTCTTTAAATAAATGATTTCTTTATGCAATTCAAAAATCAACTAAAACTTAATTTTTATATAAAGGGTGTTATCTTTATTCTATACATTATTCCGAGTTCATGATAAACAACTTCGTGATTTACTATACACACATATTATTTCAGATATAAAAAATACTAATGCCAAGCACAAGAATAATAAATTAAATAAAACTTTACAAAATTTCATGTACACAATTTTACAAAGTACAACAGATAGCACAAATGTAATTGCTGCTAAAAAAAGTTTAGATGCGTGTATTGAGTTATATAAAAAGGGAATATGGTAAGTTTAAATCTCTCAAAAATTAATTATATCAGATATATATAATATATATATAATTTATTTTTAACATAGGAATGATTCAAAAACTGTTAATATTATATCTGAAGCATGTTTCCATTCAGTGACAAAAATTAAAGTTGCAGCAATTCAATTTTTTTTGGGATCAAATAATGAAAATCAAGATGAAGATAGCGAAGATGATTATGTAGAGTTTTTTTTTTTTAATTACATATCTATTTGTTCTGTGAAATTTCAGAATAAAAGTAATATTTTTTTTATAACAGGACATTCCAGATATTAAACGATTACAACATATAAATCTTGTTAATAAAACAAAAAGATCAAAATTAAAAAAATTGGAAAAAGCAGTGTCAATTGTCAAGAAAAGAGAAAGGCAAAAAAATAAAGAAACCTTTAATTTTTCCACATTACATTTATTAAATGATCCTCAAGGTAACCTATTATTTAGTAACATAAAAAAACTTCTTTTATAGTTTTTTTTTTATAATTGAATTTGAAATCTTTTCCACAATAAATTTAATATGATTATGATTATTATTATGATTAGGATTCAGCGAAAAATTATTATCATCACTTCAAAAATCATCAAATAATGATAGATTTGAAGTCAAACTAATGACAATGAATCTTATATCACGTATAATTGGTGCACATAAACTTATCTTATTAAGCTTTTATACATATATATTAAAGTATCTTAAACCGCATCAACGTGATGTAACTATGATTCTTGTTGTAGTTGCTCAATCTTGCCATGAATTGGTACCACCTGACGCGTTGGAACCTGTTATTAAAGCTATTGCAAATAATTTTGTTTCCGATCATTGTGCTGGTGAAGTTATGGCAGCTGGGTAAGTTTTATTAGATTTCAAATGTAATAAATTAATTACATTTTTTTAAAGAGAGATATATATATTTATAGTTTGAATGCTATACGCGAGATTTGTGCACGTCAACCTTTAGCAATAGATTCTACTTTGTTACAAGATCTAATAGAGTACAAATCAGATAGGGATAAGGGGGTCATGATGGCTGCTAAATCATTAGTTGGTTTATTTCGGGAAATTAATCCGGAAATGTTGAAAAGAAAAGATCGGGTATATTTCTATTCTTTCCTCATTAATTTATGATACGTGTCAATAGATAAATTTACATTTCTGTTCTTTATAGGGTAAAATTGCTAGTATGAATATGAAAGATTTTAAACCATTACAGTATGGTAAAATACGTATGACTGAACAAATTGAAGGTATAGAATTATTAGAAGAGTACAAAAAGCAACAAATGCAGGATGGTGTGGTAGAAGATAATGATGATGGTAGTATCATAATTATAATTACATTCTTAATGTTTGCTTCAACCTTTATATTAATTATATATTTATTACAAAGAATGGGTAGGATGGGAGGTAGCTTCAAATGCTTCATCAAATGAAGAAGATTGGGTTGATGTTTCAGATGATAAATGTGATGACAAAGATGATAATGATGAAAGTGAAGATGGTAAAGACGATGATGATGAAATTGAAGGTGACATAGATGACGATGATGATGATGAAATTGAAGGTGACGATGATGAAATTGAAGGTGACATGGGTGACGATGAAATTGATGGTGATAGAGATGATGAAATTGATGTTAGAAACGATATAACTGATAGAGAAAATGATAATAAATGTGACAATAAGGAAAAAAATGATGAATATGTAGGGGAAATTAATAAAGATGAAAATATTTCAAGCTTGGCAACAACACAGGTACGAATAAATCTTTCCGTCTCTTTGGTTGCTTTACTATTAATGATATATAATTAAGGGTTTTTTTTAAAAAAATAGCTTTTGACACCGGCAGATTTTTTTAAATTGAACGAACTCAAAATGAAACATAAAGTTAAACAATTAATAGATGGTGGTAAACGCAAAAGTGACGCGTATGTATTATGTCATAGCTAATTTAATACACTACATACAATGACTAATTTAATGGTGGCACATTTTTTTGAATAGAATACAACACGATGAACTTCCGGATATAGTTGATGTCAATTTTATTACTGGTCCACGAAAAAAAGCCAAACAAGATTATGAGGAACGTATAGAATCCATAAAGGCTGGGCGAGAGGGACGAGAAAAATTCGGTGGTCCCAAAAAAGGGAAAAAGGTTGAAGGTACCAGCACCACGAATAAAGAGAAAGCAAGACATAAAGCTTTTATGATGGTAATTCATAAGAAGAATATGATCAATAAAAAACGGATGAGTTTAAGAGATAAGCAGGTATTTATTGATAAATTTAAATTGATATTATCAAATTATAAATTTTAAGATCACTTTGATTAATTTATCGCAGATACAATTGACAAGGCGTGGCGGCGGCTTTAAAAAGAAAAGCAAGTAAGCCAAGAACTTGTTGAAATTTCAATCCATGAACTGGTCTTTTGGATCTGGAAGCTCAATATCCAATAATTTGCAATAAAGTATTATAGACGAACGATACCTATATAATAAATATTTATTGTAATTAATTGATTAATTAATTGACAAAAAAAAATTTATAAATAACGCATACGTTCTACATGTCTCTTGTAACGATCGATTATTCATTTTTGATACAGCTTTTACAGCTTGTGACTCGTAGAGTTCACGTTCTTTAGAAAGTCCATCATTTTCTTTTTCCAAATTTTCACATTCGAACTTTAAATCGTTAATTTCAGAAGTGCATTCCTGAATTTCCGTGTTTATCTTCTGAAGATATGTTGTCTTTTCATATACAAGTCGATGATAATGTAAAATACAAAAAATACGTAAAATAATATATAGTTATTGCATGCGAAGTATGCAATAACTGCTGTATTTTATGTTCTCTTCTAACCCATACTGGCTGGGTTACCAACCAATCATCATCGCCCATAAAATACAACAGTTGATGCATACGGAAACATGCAATAACGGTTTTATTCAATGATTTACTATCTCAGTTTATGAAATAAGAAGTGCCATAAAATAATTGATTTATTTTATAGACTGAGCATTGAATAATATGTAAAATTGCACATAAGAATGTTTACCTGTTCGTCTAAAATCCGCTTAGCATCTTCCACAGTTATTTTCTAAAAAAAACGAAATGAATAAATGAATAACAAGGTACAAATCAGTTCGCGATACTTTAATTATTATCTATTTGACAGACCGTGCGTGCATCGTTTTCCATTTTCAGGGTCAAAATCGTTACGCATTACGCGAAAGATCTTCACAAATAAACAAATGATCGACCCAGAATTTTTTATGATTGGCCATCATCTCGTAAAAGTTGATTGGAAGATATTTTTTAAATTTAACAGTGGCTCTCGATATAACGGAGGCCATGGTTCCAGTCCTTTATTCCGTTATATAAAATTCTCATAATATAATTTGGTTCCATTATAATTTTCCTACTAAGCAATATCCGTATATCGAGAGCCAGTATATATAGCATCTAAAAAAATTTGATTATAAATCTAAAAATTAGGTTAAATAATTAATTCAACTTTGCTAATATTTAACTTGAAGTACTCGAAAATAAAATTTTATAAATATTAATTAAAGCCCACCTTTCTCGTTACAATTATTACAGTTAATACAATGCAAAAATATATGTTGCACTCATTTTACGTTATAATTACGTTTATAAATATGCATTTACAAAACTATAGTTTAGTAAACCACAATAAATTATCTAATCCTTTAAATTATACAAAGTCAAATAGAATAAATTTATAAATACAAATTGTTACATTAACATGTAACTCTTAATAATCGGTACTAATATTTTTTAAAAAAATTTCAGGTACTATGTGTGCATATTAATATTTATTATAAAAAAAAACTTATAAAAGTCACGAACATTAAAGATCTTTCACAATTCAAGTACAAGATGGCTAAAGAATGTACTGACAAAGTTTTGAGATCTTTCTTTAATGTGTTACTATATGACATACTGTAATATACATGTACAAGTAGAATTTCTGTCATGCTGAGAAAAGTGAATTATCATTATTAGATCTAGAAAATAATTCTAACAGACAAAGAACATATAAATTTACTATAAACTTTGAGTTGAAGATCTTTTTCAACTTAACTAACTTAAAATTAAATTTTGCAATTATATAGAACAAAAGAAGAAAAAATTTAGCTTAAAAACTAAGTTGAAAATGTAACTTCTTCAAAAATAATTATTTATGTTGAACAAGTTTACTTAAAAATTTAAAATAGGTTATCTTAATAAAAAAAAAGTTCAATATAGAAAAACAAAAATGTTTTTTATTTTTAACATCGTTAACTTATTTTTATACTAAGATAACCTATTTTTGTTTTCTAAGTAAAGTTGTTCGGTGCATAATTTTACATATAATAATCATTTTAAAATTAAAAAATAATTATTTTTGGAAAAGTTACATCTTCAAAATTAGCAAAATTTTAACTTAGTTTTTAAACTAAGTTTTTTCTTCTTTTGTTCTATATAATCGGAAATTTAATTTTAAGTTACTTAAAGTAAAAAAGGATCTTCAGCTCAAAGTTAATAGTAAATTCATATATAATTTTTATTATAGACAACATTTTAAGCTTTTATAAGGAAAAATATGATTGCTAATACTAGTTCTCCTGATAATAAAAGTAATAAGGGACTTTATATTGGAGTAGCCATAGTGATAGTATTAGTGGCAATAATAAGAATAATTCGGTTAACAAATAGAAAAAAAATATTAATTAAATTATGGATGCTTTGAGTAGTGAAATTCTTCTTGGTTTATTTCTTACAGGAATTATTTGTTTTCCTTTTCAAGTTTACTTATTATATAACAAATCTATTCAAGACTATTTTAATCTATTTAATATTTTGTTTTACCTTTTTTTCTTTCCTCTAGTATTACACTTTTTTCTTTTTTAAAACTAAGAGAGGTAATCAAAAACCACAGGACCGTTAACATAAAAAATTTTCTTATTTGTCTTTTATTTCTTTCCATTTGTTCAAGTTTAATGGCACTGATCTCTTCCTCAATTGTTTATTAGATGTCTGGATTGTATATTTAATATCTTCACCTTCATCAATTTTTGTCTTATTAATAACAATAATTGCTTTTTGTCTAATAACAATAATTACTTTCTGTCTGTCATTTTGTTTCTATCGTTCTTAGATTTTGGGTTCAGGGAGTCCTGAAAATGATCGGTATCAATGGGTAGTAGGTTTTAAAGACTACATAAGTAAAAATTTTGAAGAAATTCTTGACAGTAAAGAAAACCTTACCCAGCAAGATAAACTGAATAGAATTAGAAAGAAAATAACTTTTTATAAGTAGTAAAGTAGGTACCTTGATAGCTGTAGGTGGTTCGATCTTGGGACGTTTTAGTGATTGGAGAAAGAAAAACTTCGTAAGCAAGAGAGAGAATTAACAAAAGAAAAAAGTAATTAGAAAATATTGAATTAAAAGTCAGGAGACTAGAAGAAATTCAAGAAAATCAACATCAGAAATTTCTAACCAATCCTTCCCCTCCCGATAAACTCCCTTATATCCAATAGAAAAATATAGACAATATGGACATAGTCCATAGAATTTTCATGTCCAATGGTCATATTGTCCGCGTCCATATTTTGCCACACTGACTAAGAACAATATTGTAAACACGAATTAGCGTTAGATCAATTGCTGTCGACACTGAATAAGATGCACAACTTCTTAATAACTAACAGTTTTCGAGATTATGTCATTATATCCCGTTAGCAATATCATTGTAGAATTTCTCAGATTCAAGAATTGAGTAATTCGACTTAAAGAGCATCCAAATACTTGTTCTGTCGATTTCTATTGATAATGTTTTAAACTGCTGCGTTGTTAATCCCATTTAATAAGACATTCGTTACAAACTTTTGAAAACTCTTTAATTCGCAAATAATGAAGAATTTGTTAAATTTAATCACATGTTAGCACCGTTTACACAGAATTCCAAACAATTAAATTGCTCGGGTCCAGTCAACTATGCCGATTTTTTAAAAAATCAATTAACTTAGCTGGCTAAGTTGGCTAACACTAAATTGACTAATATCACTTAAATGTATAAGTGTTAATTAGTAAATTTTGTTTTATACAATACATATAAAGTATTATAAAAACTCTAATTGGTATCTATTAATTATGGAATATTAATTAAATATTTTGATATCTTGCTAATCTTTTTTAAAGCCAATTGATTGTTTTTACAATAATTGTTATAGCAATTTTTGTTTCGCAAAAAAAAATAAAATGCTGTATTATAAAAAATTCGACTAAAGTGGTTTTTACGAAATTTCAGACCAAGCCACCCGATTTTGCTTTAAAAAAATTTCTCTTGTTTATTAACATATATAGATTTTTTTATTAACATTTTATAAACAAATATACAATTTTCTTGAAAGAATTTCAAAACAAAAGAAAAAACGCTAAATACCAATCAACCAATAATGTCTCAAGCTATCCAGTATAGGATAGAATTGTAAACCTCTGGTCTACGTTAAGGGTCCTCTTAGCCGTGGACCATTTCTCTAAGGCATGCACTCAGGAGATCATGTGTTATCGGATCGTAAGGACATATACCCAATGCCTACCGATTATAGATTCAATATTTTTAGTACTTTTAATGGCAAATTAATGAGTCAAAGCTATAAAATGACGGAATAGAATAGATATAGATTTAAAACCTCATGATAATACATGATCGCCTCTTCAAACTCTTCCTTCACATGATAAATATATCCTAATGCAGTTAACGCATCCGAATTGGGTGGTGACATAGACACCACTTTTTGGAAATATGACTCAGCAATATCCAGCTCGCTAAGAAAAAAATTGATCACGGATGTAATTAATAAAATAATGAATTAGTCGTTTTAAATCGTGTAAGTACAGATAATTACCCCAACTGCCTGAAAGCATGGCCAAGGTTAATCCAAATTGTTTCCCATATTTGTGGTCGACATTTTGTTTCCTCTGCTACCTTAAGTGTCTTCTTAAAGAAGTCGACTGATTGAGCATACCTGATAATTTGAATTGCTTTAAGGACCAACCTCTTTAAACCGATTAATATAATATATTACTTACTTGAGCTTTTGAAAATAAAGTACACCCAATTCGTTTAATACCAATGGATCATTCTCACAAATTTGAGAGCTTGTCAATAGGTATTCTTCAGCAGACAGAAGATTCTTTGCTTGAAGATGTTGCATACCAATGAAAAGAGTCGGGAGATGTGAGCTAATTACATAATTACACAGACGTTAATAATTGATTAGTCTCATAATAAAGCACAGGTAAAAACAATACCCTGGATATAATTTTGCAGCTGTAGAATAAGCTGTTATTGCTTGATCATGCTCTGATTCTATAGCAAACGTATGTCCAAATCCTACCCACGCTGGCCCGCAATGAGAATCCATAGTAGATGCCTTGCTAAATAATAAGTGAATGATTTTGGTGTTTTGAATAATGCAATTAATACATTAAGTATGTATTATTTAGTATAAAATTAGAATATGTTTTTTAGTAGTGTTTTGTATTATGAAATAAATATTTTACTCACGTAAAATATCTCCTCGCTTCGTCATTCTGACCAATCAGGAAGTTATAACAACCAACGCTAAACCACGTGACAGCTTTATCCGGAGAATGTTCAACAAGCTCGTGAGCAAACAAAAACAGTTTGTTTTTCTCACGCAGCTCGTGTAGACATACAATATGAATGGGAAGGCACGCTTGGTTACACATGTCGAATTCAAGTAATCTTTTTTTTTTAATTAATTAAAATATTAACAAATAAATTTTTCGCAATAATTACAAATGTCTATTAAATACACACTTAGTCGTGACTTCGAGGCATTCTTTGAATCGACATTGAGTATATAATTCATCTGCGCGACTTAATAATATATCTGCATTATTTGATAGTCGAAATTTATTTTCTAATTCCGATCGTGCTTCTTGAATTTCTGTTACGTGTTCATACTATTTAACGTAAACGTATGTTAAATAAAAGAATGAAATATACCAGGTATTTGAATGGATTGCAAACCTTTTTCAGCATTGATATGTAATTCATTTTAATAAAATAGGCCTCCTCATATTCTAGTTGTTCGTCAAATTTCAGTGAATGAACAAAATCCCATTCTATATATAATTGAAGATGTTAATCAGGTAAATAGACGTTTAGATACAACAAAAAAGTACACATTTACACGCTGAGTTTACCTTCCTTACTTGTCATCATGTGATTTATCACTAGTTCATTAAACGCCTATAAAAGTATAATTTTAGAAAAAAATTGATTGATTTAAAATAAAATCAGATAAAAATAATAAATATTGGCACACCTCAAAACATTTAACATCTATTTCCAACGCTTTTTTAAACCATTTTTTAGCGTTATCTAAGTCAGATTGTTGGGAGTACGCAACCCCGCGCAGATAGCAAATGGATGCTTCAAGCTAATGTAGGTAAGAACAGTATGAATTATATTTAGTGAAATACGTAATAAAAATTGTATATAACACATAAGGTTATTTATAAGGCTCACACTGATTCCTCCTTCTGTATTTTTGTCAACCGAACTATAATCTGCAAACCAAGTTACACATTTATGTCCAAGTTTTTTAATTCATGAACAATTTATTTTATTTTATTTTGTTTTATGTGACAACGAACCTCCATCAAGAAATGTATTTTCATCACCAAGAATATCCAGTACCTCTTGGTACTTTTCCATTTTAATCTAAAAAATAGAACAACAGATATTGTATAAGTAACATTTAATGGGTACTAATGTTAATAATAGGTTATCAAAATTAAGGCGAAATTGATAATACATTGCTAACGTATTGCGATGGAACATTGGCTGATCAATTCATACTCACGCAACACTTTGCAGCTAGAAATCGACATACAACGCTCGAATCTATGAGATTCCATATTAAGTTTTGTGCCCTGACATATTGACCCATGTTATAATGTACTTGTGCTAACCAAAGCACGTCGTTCGAGTCGCCTATTAGGAGAAATATTCTTGTCAATGAATTTTTCCGAGGTAAATTGACTATCTTAAATATGTACCGGTCATTGTCATAACTTTGTTTCCCCAAAACACAGCAGTTTCATACAGATTCTTAAAATAAGCGTCATTTCTCCATTGCCGCGTTTTTTCTTCCAAGCTGGAAGCATTACTTGAAGAACTTTCTATACTACTCCTAGCATCGTAAAATGGAGAGCTCTCGAGAATATACATGGGTGTCTAAATTATTTTGCTCTTGGCATAAATCTATGCTGCCGAAATTATTTTTGATTAAATTATTTAGTATGTCGAAATTATTTTAATATGGCGTAAGTATTTTGGTATGCCAAATGACATATTTTAGGAGGAAAATATTTTTGTATGGCGAAATATTAAACTACTTCAGTTTATTATCATCACGCGGATGATCCTCGATTTTGATTGGCCCGCACTATACATAATTTTGGCCGGAATTGATTTTTTTGATTTTTTAATTCCACGTCTAAAGCGGAGAAGCATTAAGGTGATCATCAAACTAATCAAATCAAATATTAGTTAGGGGTACATATGAAATCATTTATGCGAAAATTTTTTCGAATTTACTGCGGATAATAGTAACTTTCGGTACAGTTTTCTCGCGAACTAACATAACAATTGCAGTTAAGTTTTTTGTAGAAGATATAATTATTAGTTTAAATATTGTAATAACGTCATTTTTTCGATTTTTTTCATTTATGAGTTATCATTATTAATAAATTTTTTTTTTTTTATTTTTATTTATTAAAGCTGATGTTATCAGTAGCTACCGCCTTTATTTGTGATTTGGTCAATGCATTACATATGACTTGTACAAGGTAAGTGTACAACTAGTCACACGTGTAACTTTTGGTTACCTATTTAAGTAGTCCGCTCAAGGGTTCTACACTAGCTGTCATGTCTGTAACCTACTAGAAAGGTACCTATTTAAACATTCTGATCCTTATACTACACTCAGACAAGTAACACCTGGTTCCTGTACAATTAAGTGTTGTTTAATCCAACATTTAGTTTTCTCTTTTGTACATCTGTCAAGCCATTAAACATTTTAGAATACATTACTTGATTGTAAGATTCCAAGATACTTCCTTGTTAATTATCTACTCACTTTACAGAACATTAACAAGGTTAGTCCTTGTAGAGTTCACCCAAACCTTAGCACCTACTTTACAACATATTTCTAGTACTTATAATATATTCCTGTTTTGATCCCAGACTCCCAATCCAGATAGCCTGATAGGACTGTGATCTGTCTTTAGTATATTGAGTTGGTCTGATATCTTTTTCCTCCAGTTCAGTTTCGATAACCTGATTGGTAGTACCTTTTATCTGAGATTCTTGCCTGTCTGGCTCCTTCACATTAGTATCTGTTTTCTAGGTCTAGTCTTTATAGTATTATTGTCAAATATCTGTATTACTTCTCTACTTGGATCTTTCCAAGTGGGTTCCAGTTTCTCAGTTCTATGGATTTACATAGTCACAAGAACTTATTTTAGATTTGTACTGCTTAGTACTGGTTTGTATTTCTCTGTATAACTAAGGTTACACAGATGTCTTGTGACCTGCCAGTCATGCTAATGTAATCATAGTTATAGGTATCCTATCCCAACTGATTAACAGAATGCCGTCACCATAATATCATCTATGTATTACATAGATGATTATTCAAATTTTCACTATCAGTGGGTTTTGAACTTACAAACCTACCACTTGGGGGGTTGACAACTTATCTACTTCACTAAGTCACTATACCATCATTATTAATATATATTTACTTTATTATAAGACTTAAGTTTGAAATAATTTTAAAAATATTTTAGTTGTTTCTTTTTCTTTATATATTTTATTTATTTTTATATAATCTTGTGAAATTTCTTGTAATTGTCTTTTACATTTTGTATTAACTTCTGAAAGTTCTAAAGCAATATTTTCTTCATTTATATTTTCAAATGAAAGTTTTAATTTTGACTGTTTCAGATTCTACATCATATTCAGATAAGTTTTCAAGTTAAGTTTATTAAAAAGTTCTTTAATTTGTTGTTGATAAATTACAATAAAATAAATTTATTCTTTAACAAATTTAGATAATAACAGGTATTCATGAATTTTGTAAATTGGATCAAAACAAAAGTTTCAAAATTCATCACTGAAATCTGGACAATTTAGTAATTCTTTTTAAAGACCAAAGGTATTGTTAGTTGTTTCAAAATCATCATATAATTGTAATTTCACATTCTGTTAGTTCTGAAAGCTATAATGATTTTGAAACTATATGATAAAATGTTTGCACAAATTCATAGTTAGAATTTCTATCCAAACAGCAAATTAATAATAGTAAATGTATCCATGAAGACATCTATTTTAAAAAATATTCATATGCTTTAATTATTCTTCATTCCAGATTGTTAAAGAGCTCACTAAAATCTTTATTATTTAGAAAATCTAATGTCATTAGTAGTTCTTTTCCAAAAAATGAGTCAAAATTTTCTTTAAACTTATCTAAATAATCAATCTATTTATTTACTTTGTCAGACATGTCATGAGCATAATGACTAAGTGAAAGTTAAATTAGATTATTATCTAATTGGATATAAGATATTGGGTCTTTTTCAACTATGAATTACATTAGCAGCTCATACAAATGCTCTCCAAATTTAACAAAATATTGAATCTAAATATTTAATTTTTTATTTAGAATCCAATCTTAGAATAATCACCAGTTTGAAAGATATAATTGTGGTATGCTATAATTATTTTCAAGCATTTGAATAAACCAATTAGCAAATTTTATATATGCTTTATGTTGGTCCAAATATTATCTAGCAGCATGTAGCTCATAGCTCTAGCATCTTCTAACTGGCAATTGGTATTGTAAAAAATAGTATTCTAATAATTTATTATATAATTGTTTTATCTATTTTGAACTTATATTAAGAGGCTTATTCTTGTTATTTGAGTTATATTTATCATGAAGATACTATATTAGATATAACAAATTAAATGGTTGTGGTTTTCTAAAAAATCTGATTAAAGAAGATAATTTTTCAAATGTTGCTTCTTCAAAATGTGTTAAAACTATATGTATAATATATATACATATTACAACCAATTCTTGTTGTATTTACATTAACCTTTTTATTGAATTGAACTATTGCATCTTTCTTATTACTTTACATATATATTGTGTTATTGGTTATCCAAGCTAAACATTTATTTGGATCAAGCCTGTAGTTTATAATTACATTAAAGACATCATCTGCTACAGACTAACAGGTACAGTTTTGTAAATCTAAAAGATTTGTTACAGCAACTGATGGTATATTTTTTCTATTATCCTAAAACATTATATATATAACAAAGTTTTTAACTTTCCTAAGAGTTGACTTATTAATGAGAATTTCAAACTTTGAGCATTGAGTAGCCTGATTTATTGCAAATTTAGTTTCAATTTGCAAGACTTTTTAGTGCCAAGTACTAAGTGTGAATACTGCTAATCATTTTTGTAAAAGTTTCTCAATTAAAAATTCATAGACAAGATGCAATGATTCTACAATAATAGTTAATGAGGTTTGTTCAATTTGAGAAAGTTTGGTTAAAAGTCAAACCATTTTAGATGAATATATACTAGTATTTGTTTTGAACAATTCATTAACTTGGCTCTTGAATTCTTCATCAGATATTTGTCTTCACTTGCATATTAATGACCTAATAGTTGAAACTTGCTTTTTCACTTTATTTTTGAGATACTGATTAGAACTGCTTACAGACTGAATCTTATATATCAGATTTTGGTTACTTTTTAATACTTTTCGATTTACTGATTTCAGATTTACATTTTCAGTCTTATAATTTTTATGACTACTGGTATCTGTTATAAATTCAAGTGCTTTCTTCTAGTAATAAACTGAAATTATTTCATTTTTATATTTTTCTTTAGAATTTTGCATTAATTCAGACAGCTTTAATGTATTTTTTTTTTGTGTTTCTAACATTTTATGAATAGTTTAAAATATCTTCTTTTCTTTTTCATGATTTATGATATTTGTAAAAATTTTATGTATTTGTGAAAAAAATTTAGAATCAATTTGAGGTATGATTTTATAAATTTGTTAAATTTAATCTTATTAAGATCATGCATATTTTAGATGGCAGTTTTGCTTTGATAATTTTGGCATATTTAATAGCAAAAAATAAAAGGATAGATTTATTAATTTTATGATTTTAAAAGTAATTGCTTTTAACAAAAAAAAGATTTGGTAAGATATAATAATTTTTTAATTATATTAGTAAATATATTTAATTAGACAATAACTATTATTTTTAATTATATTTAAATGATCATATCAATTGATGACTAAGTCAGCAAGAAGACAATAAACAAATTATTCAATAAAATGATAAAAAAGATAATAACTAAATTTGGCTAATTGGTTGGTAAATTAATTATAAGTTTGTTTATTATTAAAGATTTATTTAAATGCATAATTATTCGTATGAATAAATATTTTTTTAATTGAAGCATCAGATTGTAAAATTTAAATAATACAGTTTTAGATTATTGGTTTTTTGTTCAAGTTTTTATGCATCAATTCACTAACATGGTTTTGGATAATTGAGTTTTTATGCATAAATTCTTTAAATAATATTTAATTCAACTATTATAGTTTAGGTAATTAACCTTTGTTTAAGTTTTATGCATTAATTCTTTATATGATATTCAATTCAATGATTACAGTTTTGGGTAATTTGCTTTTTTATGCATTAATTTTTTATATCAAATTTAACTATTATAGTTTTGGATAATTGGCTTTGTTCAAGTTTTTTTGTATTTTTTAGTATATATAAAATTGAATTGGTTTTTTGAATTCGATTATACATTAATATATCAGTATATAATTTGATAATACTATTTGTTTTTCTAAAAAATTCTTGAAAACATGTAGCTTTATTTGATAATTTTTAATAAAAAAAATTTGAACAAAGAGATTATCTGATATTCAAATAATTAACATAAACACAGATATATATACTTATTTATAATAATATTCATTATTAATTAAACCTTACCTTTCAAAATACTATAAATAGCTTTACATCTCAATGATATATTTAAAATTATTTTATTGCATAGTATTTCTTCTCTATAACACAACTAATTTCTCATATCTTTATCTCAAAATGTTACCAAGATGCTATCATGTATATAATTCTTATTCAAAGACATGTAAATTCTATCTCCAAAAGAAAAAAAGAGAAGAAATTAATTTGGCCTAGTGGTATAGAAGAGCAGTCAATGAACAAGCCAACATATCTAAACAGAATCAAAAGCTTGAATTAGTCCAAGATCAATCTGTTCAGACCAATAAGAATTAATTGATTCAGATTGATGGAAATTAATTGATTTAGACTGACAAGAATAAATTGGTTCAGAACAATAAGAATCAAATACCAGAAAGAGCAGTATAATGAATGTTTGAATAAATAATTAAGATAAAAAAATTAAATTTCAATATTGAATATTTAGATTACATAATCTCAGATTTTAACAGAATTGATTTCTAAAATATTATGTATTAAAATAAAATTTTAATATGAATAAAAAAAGTAATTTTTATTTATCATACAAATTTCTTAAATAGTTCTTTTATATACTTTAATATTCATTAGAATGACTTGATCAATCACTATAAATTAATTAATTGTAATATAAATAATAATAATATGAAGGCATCGATTTTTGAAAAAGAAGTATTGTAACTGCCCATTTCTAATATCATTTCCTCTATAGCCAACATTTAGTATTACATAAGGTTAGAGTTACATGGTGTTTAATTAGCTGCAAGTAAACACTGTATTGTTAGTAAATTGTTATATGTGTGATGAAATGTGATCTATATATTTGTGTAATTAATATTAAAAGTTTTTGAAATTGATTAAATTTTTAATTAAAAAAATTTTTTGAAAAAGCACTCTATTAGTTTAAAATATAAGGTCTGCAGAGCAATTGAGTAAAATTTTTAAAGAAGTTAATATGTAAATTATTAAGAAGATATAATTTAAAAATCAATAGCTTCTTATAAAATCATTATGAAAAGTTACTAAAAATTAAACCATATCTCCTCAATAATTTGCATATTAACTTCTTTAAAAATTTTACTTAATTGCTCTACAGACCCTATCTTTTAGACTAATAGAGTGCTTTTTTAAAAAAATGATAAATACGTAATAAATTTGATAAAAATTTGCTAAAATTTGAGTTTTTTAATATAAATCATCATCTTCATTATATGAAAAAATTTACTATTTATTTTTACTATAAGACTATACATAAATTTGATTTATATAGTGCATCAAACATCTCAACACAACATCAATTTTCAAAAAATAAGGCCCAAGCTAAAAATACTGTTGAAAATAGAATAGATAACAATAACAGTGTTTCATCGATTATACTAGCAAGAACATATACAAAAATTAACAAAAAATTGATGACCTTAAAAAATATATAATCGATTTGCCAGATCCAATACTTGCTATATTTATAACTATAATTAAGAAACTTGCTTAAGAGCAATATACTTAACTGCAATATTTAAAAATATAAAATAATTTATTAAATATAATTAAAAATATGAATAATAGTAAATTAAATCTTGTAGTATCATTAATAAATCTTACAAAACATAGAAACAACTCTAAAGCTAGCAAGATTTTTTTAAAATATTTGCAACAGAAGGCATATAATTTCATTTGTTATTTGAATAAAAATTATATTAAATACAAAAAAAATATATTCAAAAAATTAATCATTTACAAATAACAAAAAAAATTTTATATAGTAAAATTGGAAAGTCTAAACAAATACACAAACAACACATCTCTAAGTTTCATTTTATAACTTGCAAAGCATCTAATATAACTGATAAGAAATTAAAATTAGCAATTCAAGATCAGCTTATGCTAAATAAAAAACAATTTAGTACTAAAACTGTCTTTATGATTATACAAATTTGTAAAATTGGAGAAATGTTTTATCGATCTGTTGTAACTTATATGAAAAAGATAATCAAATAGTTAATAAATAAAAAACTAAATAAGTTGTTTTTTGTTAGCATACTTATTAAATGACATCAAGATATATCAAATATTTATATTATTCAATAATATAATATTGCTAAACTTCCTAAATAGTTTATTTTTAGAATTATGATAAACAAGTTAATACATAGTAATAGTAAAGTTTTTGTTATATGTTTTATGTATTAAGATCTAGTTAATAATAAGCCAAAAGTTAGTTTATTGAAACTTCAAGATTTAACTCAATATACTGAGATATTAATCATACATACTATTATTAAATTATGTAAGCAATATTAATTAGATCTAAATAAATGTTTAACTTGGATAACAGACAATACAGCATATATATCAGATTATAAAAATAGTGCAGTAGCTTTATTTAATAAAAAAATTAATTCAAATTTGTTTAGAATGTCTTGTAGACTTCATTTGACACATATAATGATGACAAATTTTGAAAATATTATATTTAGAAAGTTCAAAGTCGAAAAAAGATTTTAACTCAAAACATCTTTTTAATTTACTGTACCTTATTTGGTAATTGCATAATAGATATAGCAAAAGTAATAAAGACAATTTAATGAATATGAAATTGTCTTATATATTTGATTTATATACTAAATTATTTGAAATTTAATTATCTTAATTTCAAAAACCTTTATAACAACAGTAGTTATACAAATTACAAACAGCAAAACAACTGATAGAAAGAAGAGAGTATTTGAAAAAATTTACTCTTTGGTTTCTAAATAAACTAAAATTACAAAAAAAAATATCAAAAAAATATTTTGAAAAGTAGAAGCTCCTTCAACAATAGCTTACTAATCTAGTTTTAAAAATACAAATAAAGTGTTTTGTTAAGTTTAGTGAACAAATATATGAATCTATTATAAATTTTCTTATCAGATTTGATAATAAACTATGAGTTCTTAAATCAGATAGTTAGCTATTGCCACTTTTACCTAGTCATCAGGCTTATAAAATACCTAATGCAGTTATTAAATGAATAGAAACTTTAAATAGGATTAGTAATAATATTTGTTCATTCTTTGGTATGAAGTTATAGAATGCTATTAATATCTTAGACAATAATGATTTTGAATGTTTTTTTAATAGATTAGAACTTAGTATTGATAAAACCAAAAATTCTTTGGAAACTTAAATAAATATGTAGCTTTATTTTTTATTAAGTGTTTGTTAATTAGATGACAAATATAATTAGAAATTATTTAAATATGAGATTAAAAAAACAATAAAATCAAATTTCTAGTTTTAAAATATTATATTTTATGACTCTTTTAGAATCTAATATTAAACAATCAAATTCTAATTATTTTAGATTGTTACAAGCAATTGAATTTCTATTATTTTTATATGAATTAATAAGTTTTTTAATTCTAATAAATTATCAATTTATTCTTTTCCTTTATTATATAAATTTATTAAATGCTAAATTTATTATATTATTATTTACCAACAACAGATTGAGAGCCTGTTTGATAAGTATGATTTCAAATGTTATACAAACATGAACCTCAAACCAAAGAAGTGAAACTTCATCTTTCAAATATCAAAAAAATTTCTATATCAGATAAGAAATTAGTAATTCAAAGAAAGAATAAAAGAAAATTAAACAAATGTAATAATAAAAAACAGATAACATTTGAAAAAATAGAAGCCAACAATTTGTTTTATAGTTTGTTTACTAAATAAGAAAATAGTTGTTCACTAAATAAAGAAAATAATTTACAAATATTAAATTTCTGAAATTTTTGAAATTATCAACAAACTGATAAAAAATTCTTACATGATAAATTTATATATGACTCTGATTATGATTTGATTTTATTAGTTTGATGATCACTTTAGAAAAGCATAATTATTGATTTTGATCATTAAATTGAATATAATTGGCCAATAAATTATAAAATTCTTATTAGTAATACAAATAGCAACTTTTAAAGTAACTAAAAAAAAATTTTTATTAGTACATTCTTCATACTGAAATTAAGTATTTAAAGATAGCTAGTTTATACATAAAAGATAATAAAAGTATACTGTAAATACTGTAGTGATTATTTCAACTTTTACAATTTAAAAAATAAGATGTATTTATATAATATTTTATTATTTATTATATTTTTTAATAAATTTTATAATTTTAATATTTTTTTTTATCTTTTTCTTAAGAGTAAGAGTAAGGTTTAAGACATAGATAAAAAATTTGACATGCTCATCTAAAATCATATAACCTAACAGCATGCATCAATTTTGATTAATCAATTATTAGTAAAGATATAGCATCTTGTAAAGCTTGTTGTGCCATGTTAACAAATAGATTAAAAGAGTTGTTAATAATAAGTTAAGATAAAAAAAAAAAAGTTAAAATGCAGAAAGAAAAAGTTACAATAGTAATATGTTAAAAGAACTATCTTTTAAAAATTGTTATTAAAATAAATTAAAAAAAATATAATATAAATTAGAAGTTTTGTAAGGTTTATAAAAGCAATAATATATTTTTTTGTTTTTAAATTATTAGTAATAAGTTAAAAATTTGGTAAAGACCAAGTAAAAGTGTAATAATTTTTAAAAAGTTCAGTAGAATTAACTAATATACTATAGAAAACTAAACTATCTTTAGGATTATATAGAAAAAAATATTATCTGTAAGGGTATTATTATTATCAGTAGTAAATAATAGATTATAGCTTTTTAAATTTTTAAAATATCAACTATATTCTTCTGATTCTTTAAAACTAAAACTTTGAAAAGTATTAATATAAAGATTAAAAACATTTTGATATTCAAAAAGTAGAGTAAAAATTTGAAAAAGCTTAATATATTTTTAAACTAAATCTAAAGCAATTGTTTTAGAATTATTAATATTTATTGATATTAACAACTAAAAATAATATCTTTGATACAAAAATAAAGTATAATTTGATCTGAATAGAAGGTAGTAAAAATTGCAAAATTGTTTTGAGTTTGAAAGAAATAATATTAAACTAAAAAAATAGTTCTGTACTAAGTTCAAAATTGTCTAAAAGATGAAAACAAAATAAATTTAAATATTGTATTTGAAGTATATCTATTACAAGTTAAGATCTAATTAAATATGCTTGTTAATAATTTTGAATATTCTTGTTATAAAGTTTAGCAATAGTATAAATTATAAAAGAAAACTAGTTTAATTAATTTAATATATGTCTAAAATTTTGTCAAAATATTCAATATTTATTTAGGTTTTTTATTAGAATTATTAATACTTATTTAAATCTTTTACTAAAATAACT